ACGGAAAGCTCTTTACCTCGATCTGCCTAGGTTGGTTCTTCATGCTGCGAGCTTCGGAGTACCTCCCCGGCTCGGATCTTTGCAATGTTCCCACTCGGGTCCTCCGAGGCAGCGACATTGACTTCTTCTGCAAGGGGCAACGCTGTTCCGTGTTTGAAGCTGACTCTGTTGCCGTGCAGCTAAGGGATTCTAAAGGGGACCAGTTCGGAAGGGGACAGGTTAGGCTCCAGCACGCCACTGGCGAGGACATCTGTCCTGTCCGGGCCTTGCAGGAACACGCTAAGCATAACCCTTTTTGGGTAAGCGACGTTAGTCTCCCTGTTTGCGCTTGGCAAGGCATAGGCATCTCACGAGAGGGTCTATCTGACCTACTAAGGCTGGCTGCTGTGGCGCTAGGCTATCCAGCGCATCTCGTCGCCTCCCACAGCCTGCGAAAAGGAGGCGCCACCGCCATGCTTGCCGTAACTAGCGACGTGGAAGTGGTTAAGAGGTTTGGAGGCTGGAAGTCTGATGCTGTACATGCCTATCTGTACACTGACCTTGCTGCTGCTCCCAGTCGGTCCAAAGACATGCTGGCGTCCCGCCCGGTGCTCCAACCGCAGCAGTATATGCACCCTAGCGGGCACTCTTGTATGAACGAGAGCTGGGGGCCCTTCCAGTGAAAGTGGTAGCGCGGAGGGCTCCGATGAGGGATTCGATGAAAATTGGGCCACTAGCCAAGCGCATCTTGAGCACCTCGAAAGAACCACCGGACTCACCTTCATTCAAAGAGTCAGGCTCCGTAGGTAATTGGAAGCAGGCGGAATTGTTGATCCCCCACCCTTCCTTTTTAGGTATGGAGGTACCCCCGAATGGCTCCTCCCTCCTCAAGCTGGGCCCAGTAGAACCTCTGAGAGTTCGTCGTCGGTCGCGTTGCATGAGAGCCAACAGCCTATTGCCCCGCAGAGACCTGGTTCACGTGTGTCTCCCGAGCTGCTTTCTTTGCTCCAGCAAGCGTTCCGCTCTCCCCGGCGCACCGCCTCTCCTTCTGCTCTCAGCATGGCCGAAGCTGCTCCGCCAACCGGTATGGGCAATCGCCAACTTCGAGAGTGGATCCAGGAATGGGGCAGTGCATGGGATTTCCTCGGCCTCGCCCCGGGCAGTGCTATCACCCGGACAAAAGTCTTTCAGATGAGGTGGAAATGGCTACAGTCCGCATGCAGGCGCTGGGCAATGCCAAGGAGATCCTCCTCAACCCGAGCCTCAGGATTCTCCATGACAATATCCTGGGCCTGGGAGTTGGTACTGGGGGGACGGGGGACGGTTCCGCCCCCGTCGAACGCGGCATGAGATGGAGGGTCAAGCGGCACCGCCCCCCATCATGGATGGTGGAATCAGGCCTCCGCCAAAAGCCTCGCCACAGAGCTGGCTCTGCCAAGGGCAAGGACAAAGGTCGCTGGGGTACCCCCTTCTACGACACCAGCAGCGAGGAGTTTTCCAGTGGCGGTCCTGACACTGAGTCCTCTGGCCCGGAGATCGATAGGTACCCTCGCATCCGCTGTGGACGTGTGCTGAGGTGCTGCAAAAGGGGCCTCCCTACCGGTACCGCCGACAGCAAAAGGGGGCTTCCAAAGGCCCGTATGGCAGTTACCGCCCTGACGATGTACCTGGACGAAAGGGGGCCAAAAGGTGACGGAGAACCTCCTCATGGACCTCATGCGAGTGGGGAAGCTTTTTCGTCAGCTGGCGCTCCGCTCCGGCCTAACCCCTGGGCACGGGCCAAGGAAGCGCCGCCTCCCCCCCCCGCCGAGCTCAAGTCGGTCTTTGGTTGTGGCTGCATTTTTCCAGCATCAGAAGCCCTACAAGGCCCCACCGAAGGCACGTCCCAGCACGGCGCCTCCACCTAAGAAGGCTGCTCCACCCCCAAAGCCGTCGCAAGCCCCTGGGGCCGAGGCTCCGCCCTCCCCACCAAGGCGCCGCCGCCCTCCACGTTTGACAACACGATGCGGTGGATCTGTGGAGGCTGTGGAGAACCTAATGGGCTTCATCGGTATGGCTGCAATGGGTGCCGTCGCTCTCGACACGCTGCAGGAGAGGGCGACACACTGGATATGCCCCGACTGCCAGGATGAGACGACCATCAAAGCGAACCAGTGTTCTGGATGTGGATGCTGGCGGCCAAGACATGGGTCTCTCATCAATAACGGCCCTGCCCCCGACGACCTGCTGGTGCACCCGAGGGCGTCCACAGATACTGTTGTGCTCAATCGCCGGGCACAGCGGAAAGGCATCCGCCAAAGCCATAGTAGTCATTTCCGACTGGGGCCTGTTTGGGAGGCCCTTTGTCTGGCTTGGATGAGGACGAGCAGATGGAAGAGGAAGGCGTCACCGCCCTCTGCCGCTACAGCCGCACCGCCCCCAGCCAGTGCCGAAGTCCGTCTACTTCGCCAAGAAAGGCCTTGGAAAAGGTAAGGGTATGGGCGCACTGCCCGAGGGACCTCTGCCCCCTACTCCAGCCACCCCGAAAAGCTATGCCGCACCGCCACCGGCGTCTGGTGGCCTTCAGCCTCTGGTCGACCCGAAGGCCAGGGGCCCCACAGAGGAAAGCCGTCCTATGGCGATTGTGGCACCGAACGGAGAGGCCCTGTGGTTCTCACTGTGCGCGAGCTTGACATCTTGGTCATGTGCCGCAGGGCCCTATGCGGGTTGCAGTCATGGGGGCGCGTGGGAGTGATCTTCATCCGTCAAGTGGCACAATATCCTGCACTGGGCACACCGCCGAGGCCACATGTCCCGGATCCATCTTGCAAATCGGGACAATCCATGCTTTATGGACCTACACAAGGCACATCCGGAACCTCAAGGCGATCTACCGCCCCTCAGCCCTGCGACCGGAGACCATCGCCCCCTGTTCACCTTTCAGGACTTCCTGAGGAACCCCAGCCTTGGTCAACATTACAGGGGGAATGAGGGGCCACCTCGCCCAGGCCGTGCCGCCCTACCCTGCATTTACCCGGCCGCGCTCCGCCTGCTCCCGCTTGCAGAGACCTATGCGGAAGCGGACCAAGCCCAGAATGTTATGGGCCGGTGGGCTACGCAGATCTTGGGCAATGGGCCGGCAGTTCCGCCAGATGAGGGCGTACCGCCTGCAGATGGCAGTAAGGGTGCCTCCGCCCCGAGTTCGACGCCGAGTGGCAAAGGCTCCGGGAACGCTGGCAAGAGAGCCACGCACTGGTACTGCAAAAGGTGCTCCTATAGGGTGCCAATCACCCGCACGATTTGCACCATGTGCAACCGTGACAGGGAGCAATGCGTGGTATCTGATGACGAGGAACCGGAGGATGATGTCGTCCTCAACAAAGAGGAGCTCGAGGAAGTTGCCCGGCTCGAACGAGAATGCGCGGACCTGGAGCAAAGGATGAGAGGCCTCAACGCCGGCCAGCAGCGGGCACTCCTGGAAAACCTCGCGAACAGCTCGAGTGCCGTGATGGGAGGGCTTTTGGCCGATACCATCAGGCGCACCGCCCAGCTACGAGGCCAGAAGGGTAAAGGGGGGTCCAGCAATGTCAAGGTGAGGGCATCCAACGACACTGCTCGCAACGACCCCAAGTACCTGGCCGATTTGGAGGCAGGTGTATCCACGGCAGTGGCGTTTCAACGCCATCGCTCCCGACTTCGTGCCGTACAACACCAGGTGGCCCAGGGCAATGTGGCGTTACAGCCCCGTGCCACTCCCCTGCAGAGGGTGAGGGCGCTACCGCCCATGATGAGCTTGGGCCGCTCCCATCGCCTTCATCTCCTCAACAGATTGGAGAGACTTGAAAGGCGGGGAGTCACCTGGACCCAGGAGGAGGTGGGGGATTGCTAAACAATGGAGCAATTCCTCGATTACTTGGAGGCGAGAGTCAATGCGGATGCAGAGAGAGCGGAGCCCACAACCGCTTCCAAATCCGCAGGTGCTCCACCCCCCCCAGGTGTACCACCTCATACTGGCACTACAGCGAGCACCCCGTCGGGAACCTCTTCTGCACCATCGGGTACAACCGCGGACGGGCGGCCAGAACCTCCCCCACCTCGTTCCGATCAGCCGGAAGATCGAGAAGCTGGGCGGCCAGTGCCTCCGGACCAAGGTGACGATCAGCCGGGAGCCCAACCCTCAGCTCCTTCTACAACGCCTGAGGGAGGTGATGCTGCAGGTGACACCGCCCCAGCTGGGAACGATTTACCGGCTGATGATTCAGCACAAAGTTCCGCGGTGGGCGGTTTTCATCTTTAAAGCTCTGCAGAGCTTTTCGGGTTATAAGCCCTGTGCACAGGCGTTCCGCCAGAATGGGAGCCAAAGGCTCCGATGTACAGTAGGCGGTGTGGCGATCCGCCCTGTTTCTTGCAAGTTGTTTGTGAGTGAGGCAAAGCCTCAGACAGCGGAAGACGACGGATGGGTCCGGAAACAGTCGGGTTTTCGTGCTGCCCCCCCCTTGCCCTGTCTCTTAAGGAACCGAACTCCTGCATACACTCGCTGCAAAGTATTTAGATAAGGCGGCAGAGGCTTTTCCAATGCCCGAAGGGAGCGAACCGCCCCGACTATGGCGTGTTCGACTTTAAACGAACAACACCTTCGGCTAACCGCTCTGTTGCCCGTTGCAGCGCAAAAGAGAGTGTATGCATAGGACGGTGCCTGCTCTTTTGGTACAGCAGAGTGTGAGCATGCAGAACTTGCTCGTTAGTGATAACATAGAGTTCTGCTAGCGAATGAGCCGATGTGTCTCAAGACTTTTCGGCTCAGTTGAAGTTTGGCCCTCCCGCCCTCCCTGGTCTTCGGGCCTTGGTGGCGGCAGAGGCTTTTCCAATGCCCGAAGGGGGCGAACCGCCCCGACTATGGCGTGTTCGACTTTAAACGAACAACACCTTCGGCTAGCCGCTCTGTTGCCCGTTGCAGCGCAAAAGAGAGTGTATGCATAGGACGGTGCCTGCTCTTTTGGTACAGCAGAGTGTGAGCATGCAGAACCGACCCACACACGGGACGCAACGGGGGAGGTTCCGATCAGGCTAGGAACCTTCGGCATGCATCAAACCTCCACGTGGTGCCCCCTGGAAACCCGCGCTCATTACCCATCGTGACCTGTCCCTCTCGACAGTGCCACGGTCCCATAGGCTCTTACGCTGGCGGTCTCGTCTCATTTCGTCTCTTTCGTTCGACGCTTCGTTAGCCTCTCCGTTTTCTCGACTCGTTTTGGATCGTGGTCAAGGTCCCTGACCAAAAGTGCGTGAATTTACGCTTTCTTCTCGATACACATTCATAACACGCACTCGCGCGGGGCTAACGTCATTCCCCACACGGGGCGCTCCCTTCGGGGAGGACGAGATGCAAACGGGCATGATGACATATCGCAAGTCAGGCGTTGGACCTATGTCCCCTCGGGGGCATTTGGTCTTCCTGTCTTGTGTCATCTTGTCCGGGGATGGCGGGTGGGCGCCGACATTCCAATTAATCTGGTGGGTTTAACCCGGCTCGGCTTTTTTCACGCCTGACAGAACTCGCACAAGTTGCTTACGCATCTGCTCACAGGGCTCAAACGGACAGGAGGCTACTAGCTTTTCACCCGTACACACCGGCTTTCCACGAAGGTTTCTCAGATCACACACGCGAAGGCACCAATCTAGCGACACACGTGCCACACACCACACGATGGCTGGCTCCGTTTTGCCTGTTTTCTTACGTGTTTCTCGCTGAAACACACACACACACAGAGTGCAAGCGTCCTCTGGCGCAAGCACAAGGGTCCTCTGGCGCCACTCGAGCCCGCGTCCTCTGGCGCTCAAAGGGCCATCGTACGTGTCAGACATGTTTTCTGTGTTCTCGTTCCCCGTGTTCTCGCCGGTCGCAACTGTCCTTTACGATGTTCCTTGCTACGTCATGTTACGGTACACCTTCACCCATCACACCGTGACAACACAACAATACTGACGCCTTCTGGCGCATGCTTGGCCCGCGTCTTCTGACGTTGTCAGGGTCGGTCGTCGTCACCGCTGTCTCTCGATCATTCAGTCTAGATGCCCCTTTCATTGGGCTTCCTCCATCGTCTCACGTCCCGCCCTTCGCTTTGCCCCCCTCGACCCGCCCCAGCTCCTCCGCTTTCCTCTTTTCTTCCAGAACCGGGCTCCGACCCCTTACTGTGCAGTTCTCCAAGGTGTGAACACTTACACTTGTGATCAGACACGTCATCACTAAACGTACAGCCGGTAGCTTTGCTAAGACATGTATAGCCTAACTGTTAAAAGCCCTGCATGCAAGATCGACGCGCGAGTTGACCCGGTGCTGTCACCTGACGGCGCTGTTATGGGTCTACAGCAGCAGCAGCATCCAAGATGCCATCTCTTTCCAAAAAGTTGGGATTCAGCAAAGCACTTGAAGCCTGTTGGAGCCCGAGCTTCGCGGAGAAGGAACAACGGTACTGCGTCTATCATACAGTACCGTACGATACTGTCTATAGACGATATTGACATAACACAGTCTCGCAAACCACGGTGAACTTTGACATAGTCTGCATGAGCTCAGATTTCGAGGAAATTGGCTTAGACGAGGATCGCATCTACTCTGCGGAGTAACGATCAACTTTAAGATGCAAAGCTGCTCTTCCCACAGGCTCTATGTGACTATATGGTTTACACTATACCGTGTCCCAAAAGCCCCAATATAGGAGCCCCGTGGAAGTCAATGTGCAGAGCTCCACTGGGGATTCGAAGCTGCCTACACATCCAAGCTCCAACCCCTCAGCCCCCAAAGGGTCCTATGTATTGCGGGGAACCTTTCCCCAAACCATAATTGCAATCTCATACAAACCCTACATTCTACTGTTGATGATATAAATCCTGCATGACCCATAATAGGGAATATACCATAATTCCCATAGTTTAGGGTCCTTAAGGTAATGCAGGATTTATATCATCAACCGTACCATATATAGGATCCTTTGGGCCCACAGACCCCATGTCGATGCCTCATAGCCAGTCGGCGATGGACACCTGAGACACTTTGTTGGTAACTTTGCGTTTACGCTTTCCGTGGTGATACGGGGTGTATGAGGCTGTCTGTGGTGCCCCAAAGTTTCACATCATTTTATTCCCTATGGAGCTTTCTATGGTTTCCAGAGCTCTATAAGTTGTTCTTTTGCGGTGCTTCCTATGGTTTCGAAGGTGTCGCAGGTTTTTTCTGTTTTTTTCTGTGGGGTGCTCTATGGTCGTCCAAGGGTTTCTTTTGCGTTTAGAAGTTAAAGCGATAAAAGCTTGACAAAATGGTGGCATATGTTGTAAACAATGCTTTTGAGGAACCAGGGGTATTCGGGTGGCTTAAAGGTTTGAGGTCTACCTGGACCCTGAAGAACCTACCTTTTTAAGGACGTATATACGCCACCACAAGGTGGCTGGGACCCTAAACCTTAAACCCTAAACCCTTAAGCCCCTGAACCCTAAACCCCTAAACCCCTAAGCCCGTAATAAGCAACCCTGTTTAAGGTATACTTCGAAGATCGCGGACGTATATAGGGTACCTTGACGGGCTCCTTTAGAATGTGTCTTCCATAAGGGCCGTGTTCACTTTCGCAGGGTTTATGCTATATAGCGGTTTAAACAGGGGTTTAGGAGTTTAGGGTGTATAGGGTGTGGGATTGAAGGTGGAGGTGCACGGCGATGCTCCTAATCCCCAAACTACGGTACCAGCATGCCTCCAACATACAAGTTGAATACGGAAGCCTACATAGCAAGATCCGTATTGGAGGTATCTTGCCCCTGGGAAAGGGACTCCCAGCTATCTGGGGCATCTACCTGATCCCCCGAGAAACTCCCTATACAGATCCTTTGCGATTCCTTTAATTGCCAAGAACAGAACCCGCAAAGATGTAAACAACCTAGACGGTATACACTCAGAAGAGTGATGGGCATAGACGGTTTGTTAAGAGGCACTATAGGGAACGCATGTAACGGGCATGTCCTGCTTTGGTTGCCCTGAGGTCTGTGCTCAGATAGTATTTACCCTTGCCCTACTGCAGTACCTAAGTAGAGCCTGCTTTAAGGCGAAAGCATATGCTATCGGGGTACATGGACCCTTACACCCTAAACCGTTAAAGGAAACCCTTAAGGGGACCCTCAAACCAACCCTCAAAGGACCCTATTTGGGTAAATGGACCGCCCTCTGGGGTTTCAAGTTTAGGGATTCGGGGGCTTTAGGCTTTAGGGTTTAGGCTTTACGGCATTTAGGAAACCCTTAGGGTTCAAGTACCCAAGAATCAAGACACCCCGGAATAGTGACCTGCCTAACTAATGTAAGCCCAAGTACCAAGTTTTGGGTCCTTTCGACCCCTAGGGAAGTTTGCAAAATTGAGATATCGAGCCAGTCGCAATCGAACCGTAAGTACAAAAGCTGGACAAAGATCTGCGGTCGTCGAAAGTGCATTCCCCAAAAACTCTAGGTACTGCTTATGGGGAATACTTCCCCACATCATAAAAGTAATTCCAAATATCCGAATATGTAAAAACCCACATTCTCCGAAATAGGTACTTACTATAGGAACCCTTCGAGGAACCCTAAACCCTTAATGGAACCCCTAAAGAACCTACATTCTACCCTAAACAGGTACTTTAGACCCTTTGGCACGCTCGAGGTGCTTGCCGATCGAAGCGCTCACCAAGACCGAAGTCGCCACAGTGCAGATCAGAGCTCTGCGCGTAACATTGCGGGCCTGCATGATGCAACACGTGAGGAGCAGGGGGGTTAAGGTTTAGGGACTTAGGGGTTAGGGCTTTAGGGTTTTAGGGTTTGAGGGTTTGAGGGTTTAGGGATTTAGGGCTTCAGGGTTTGGGGTACGGTTGAGCGCTACAGTCGACCCTTCGGCTTGGTCAAGTGGCATCTTGAAGCGGTTGAGGCTCCTCCAGCCCTTGCCGAAACTGTGACTGTAGATGACCCAGAGGGTTCTAAGTACCTGCATACCCGCAGACAGTAGGCTCCCTAAAACAGAAACAAAAAAGAAGCGATCATTCTAGAACCCTTGAAGGAACCCCATAAAAGAACCCCGGAACGCCTTACAGGAACCCTTCAGGCACGGATCCTGTGGGAGATTTGCCCTGGCATTGCCTTGCTTCGGCGGCTTCGCCACAGCATCCGAGAGAAAAAACACCTCGTGTGCAAAGAAGGAAACCATCTAAGATGCTGTTCCGGGGGCGTTCATCAAGATGTCTGAGGGTGGTGTTTTAGGGTTTAGGGTTTAGGGGTCTTGGTGGTGT